ATATTTAGAATCCGCAATATTTCACTGATTGGAAAACAATCTCAATTACACGAAAGGATTCTGCTTAGGAATCAAGGATTTAGCTGATAAATAATGCATTCATTGTTTCCCTTACTGCTTCAGCATCACAGAAACATGATAGCTTTCCCGTTCTTTGGTGAGTTTTCAAGGACAGAGAATAAAACAGCAATTATTCAGATGAAATCAATCATAAAGCCGAAATCCTTTTCATTTGTGCATTTCAAACGATTACTACAACGCGGTGTTCATCCTCATTTGCTTATCATATCGCCTGACTAAACAGCTGACAACTGGAGAAGCGCGCCATAATGCATAAATCATTTATGGTAGAACGAATAAAGCAAAGGAAATGAAATTTTGACAGGCAATAAATATTAAGACTGAATTTGAGCACATATACAAGAAAACACAATCATACACACAGGGAGGAAGATTACAGGAAGAACTTTGCACTACTCTACAAGGAATAATTCAATTGAATATCTTTCAGCCCAAACAATTCCCGATGCTGATTACCCAATGTTGCGCTCGACTTTCTACTTTGCACAAATAGTGAACAGACTAACAGCTTTCATCAACAAGCAACAGAAAGCAATTAATATTTCAAAAAAAAAGACGGAATCAGAAAGTCGCCAAGTGAATGACATACCCTTCCAAGAAATGAGTTACACCATTTTGTGAATGTCTTCTTCTGGATGTGAACACGTTCATCTTGCAACTGCTTGATACGATTGCGCTCGAAGAAAAGCGTCGGATCTGAGAACTCATCATATTCTTCGGGATGATTCACCGACGGCCCATTACTGAAGCCGCTACGGTTCACCTGAGGAACTTGAACCTGAAATACACCCACAGATACTTCTTTAACTTCATTCGTTTGCACCGTTCTGAACATTTATTCTCTGACAGTCCCTCATTTTTGGGAACAAATGGTAGGTAGATGTTTTCAATGAGAATTTGCTTAGTGAGTCATTAAAATCTCATTGGAACACTTCAGAAGATCTCACTGAGAGGTTAGGTGAATGCTATGTAAAGTTCACTGGAAAGGTTTGAAAATATCAAAAATGTAAAAAGAGAAAGTGCACAAATGAGCAATTCAATCACAAATGGAAAGCATATCTCAAGCTTTTTTTCGTAAAATCATTTGGGAGGACATATATTCATTAGTAAATAGTCATAAAATGACTTTGAAAGTTTTTTCTGATTATTGTAAACATTGCGAAACATTTATCAAGTACATATGTGCGGGTGATGACTCAAATTTGTCATTTTTCTTTTCTTCATCTTCTTAAAAGTCAATCAATATGGATGGAAAAAGCAAAACTTGAAAATTTCGAAATGGAATATTTCTGCTTTCAGATTCAATTATATAAATAGCGTCAAAAGTTTTAGAATCATTCGATTCGATAAGAATTTTTTTTCAGACGCTCAATTTGATTTTAATGGATCAGAAATGAGCGACGGAAAAAATCCTCATAAACAGATATCACCATAAAAATCATCATGAACGGAAAAAAATCATCATTCTACAGCTTTGCAGCTTTACATTTGCTTAATTTAAAATAAAATTTGAACATAACTCTCGAAACATAATACAATTGATAAATTCAGACTACACTTGGATTTCAGATGGCACTTTCCTATGAGGAAGTGATCTCGCGTAAATTCGAGACTGACATCGGAAAAGAT